AGACCTCATGAACTGAGTTGTGGTATTTCCTATCTGACCATGGAGAAAACATGAGACAATGGGACAGCAAACCTACCCATGTCTTGGTAGCCCAAGTACAAGAGTTGAAAGAGAGGAAAAAAGCAAAGTCCGTGAAAGTGAGTGCATTGCCAGTTTCCCGTGGGCAGGGATCTGACTGGCTAGAAGGTACCTCCCATCAGTATTCACAGGAGAAAAACTGTGACCAGCAGGACAAAGACCACTGTTAGAGGGGCCCTGCCTCTAACCAGGTAGAGGCACGGAAAACTGTGCCTATTGGAATGTTTGGACCCAATGGTCTGGCACATCAGACCCACAAGAATACAAGGCTTTGGATGACACTGGTGCTCAATGCACGTTAATGCCCTCAGGACATGTGGGACAAGAGACTATTTCCATTTCTGGGGTGAAAGGAGGATCTCGAGAGTTGACCGCCTTGGAAGCTGAAGTGAGTTTGACCAGGAAGGAGTGGCAGAAACACCCCATTGTGACTGGTCCAGATGCCCCATATATCCTGGGCATTGACTACCTTGGGAATTGGTATTTCAAAGACCCCAAGGGACATAGATGGGTTTTCGGAATAGTTGCTGTGGAGACAGAGGCAGTTAAGCAGTTGAATTCACTCCCTGACCTCTCAGAGAACTCTTCTACTGTGGGACTGTTGAAGGTTGAGGAAAAGCGAGTGCCAATTGCCACTACAATAGTGCATCGTCGGCAGTACTGAAAGAATCGAGACTCTGTGACCCCCATCCATAAGATGATCCATGAGCTGAAGGGCCAAGGAGTGATCAACAAGATCCACTCCCCCTTCAACAGTGCCATCTGGCCTGTGCATAAGTCTGACAGAGAATGGAGATTGACTGTGGACTATCATGGCCTGAATGAAGCCACCCCACCACTAAATGCCACTGTTCCAGACATGTTGGAGCTCCAGTACGAGCTGGAGTCCAAGGCAGTGAAGTGGTATGCCACTACTGCCAACCCAAATGCGTTCTTCTCCATTCCCTTGGCAGCAGAGTGCAGACCACAGTTTGCATTCAAGTGGAGGGGAGTGCAGTACATCTGGAACTGACTGCCCCAGAGGTGGAAACACAATCCCACCATCAGCCACGGATTGGTCCATGCTACGCTAGAGAAAGGGGAAGCCCCAGAACACCTGTAGTACATTGATGACATCATCATATGGGGGGACACAGCAGAAGAGGTTTCCGAGAAAGGAAAGAAGATCATACAGATTCTCCTGGGAGCTGGGTTTGCCATCAAAAAGAGTAAAGTCAAGGGACCTGCCTGAGAGATCCAGTTCCTGGGAGTAAAGTGGCAAGATGGACGTCGCCAGATCCCGACTGAAGTAATTGATAAAATCACAACAATGACCCCACCAAATAGTAAGAAGGAAACACAAGCTTTTCTTGGTGCAATAGGTTTTTGGAGGACGCACATCCCAGAGTACAGTTAGATCGTAAACCCTGTCTATCTGGTAACCTGCAAGAAGAATGATTTCCAGTGGGGTCCTGAACAACAGCAAGCATTTGAACAGATTAAACAGGAGATTGCCCATGCTGTAGCCCTTGGACCAGTCAGGAAAGGACCAGATGTGAAGAATGTGCTCTACTCTGCATCTGGGAATAAGGACCTCTCCTGGAGACTCTGGCAGAAGGTGCCTGGTGAGACCCGAGGCCACCCACTTGGATTCTGGAGCTGAAACTACAGAGGATGGGAAACCAATTACACTCCCACAGAAAAGGCGATCCTAGCAGCTTATGGAGCAGTACAAGCTGCCTCAGAGGTGATTGGCACAGAAGAACAGCTCCTCCTGGCACCTCGGCTACAGGTATTGAGTTGGATGTTCAAGGGGAAAACGCCCTCTACTCATCATGCCACTGACGCTACATGGAGTAAATGGATCGCTCTGATCACGCAGCACGCCCGCATTGGAAACCCAAATCTCCCTGGGATCCTAGAAATCATCACGAACTGTCCAGAAGGTGAGAACTTTAGTCTAGCCAAGGAAGAAGAAGGGGAGCAGGTGATACGGGCGGAGGAAGCCCCAGCATACAACCAACTATCAGAATAAGAAATACGCTATGCACTCTTTACTGATGGTTCCTGCCACATGGTAGGGATGAAACATAAATGGAAAGCAGTTGTATGGAGTCCCACAGGACAAGTTGCAGAAGCTATGGAAGGAGAGGGTGAATCAAGCCAATTCGCAGAGTTGAAAGCTGTCCAGTTGGCATTGGACATTGCTGAACGAGAGAAGTGGCCAAAACTTTACCTCAACACAAATTCATGAATGGATGGTAACCAATGCCTTGTGCGGGTGGTTGCACAGTGAAGGAAGAAGGGTTAATTGAAGCATTTTGCTGCAGGGGCCCACTGTTCTCCCTCCCCACTTTCTCTACCTTGCTCTAAGGAGATTTTGTTCTGTACAAATTCTGTAGACATAAGCCACAGATACATTGTACAAAGAGCCCAGAGGTAATAAATCTTAGCCAAAGGAGCCAAAGTGACATCTCAATAGGTAATATAGGCCCAGAGCCAAGGCTTTCTTGAAGCCTCAGTGATCAGAACACAGAACAATGGAAAGAACGAAAGGTCACGAAGGTCACCCGATGAAGAGGAGAGAATTTGAGACCCCATGAGGAAGTAAGGCAGGATCTACCACCATAATATTCCTCAAAATAGAAACCACGCCTCAATCTCTGCCCCTAACTCCACCTGTTATGAATATTGTAATCTAATGATGCAATAATATGAATATGTATGTGATCATTACCAAACCTGTATAAAATACTCATTCTAACCTAACCAACTTGGAGCCTGTTTTCCCAGCACTAGCTGGTAGGCTGCCCGGCCGTCAATAAATAAATACCTTGCTGCTTTAGACATAAAACCCTGTCTAAACAGTTTTTTATCTGCTTTTTTGGGCATCAACAGATGGAAGAAGACCAATTGGAATGGTAGGGGGAAACCCATCTGGGCCGCCAATATATGGCAAGACGTTGCTACCCAGGTAGAGAAACTGATTGTGAGGGTCCACCACGGAGACGCCCATGTGCCCAAAAATCAAGCCAATGAAGAGCAGACCGAGCTGCACAAGTTGAGATGTCACAGGTGGACCTAGACTGGCAGCACAAAGGCGAATTGTTCTTAGCACGATGGGTCCATGATGCCGCTGGCCATCAGGGCAGAGATGCCACCTACAGATGGACACGAGACCGAGGGGTGGATCTAACCATGGATACTATCTCTCAGGTTATCCATGACTGTGAGACATGTGCTGCCATTAAACAGGCTAAGAGACTGAAACCCCTGTGGTATGGTGGACGGTGGAATAAATACAGGTATGGGGAGGTTTGGCAGGTTGATTATATCACACTGCCACAGACCCGTCAAGGTAAGCGCTATGTGCTCACCATGGTGGAAGCCACCACTGGATGGTCGGTGCCCCACATCACTGCCAGAAATACCATCCTGGGCCTTGAAAAGTAAGTCCTGTGGCGGCACAGCATCCCAGAGTGGATTGAGTCAGATAATGGCACCCACTTCAAGAACAGTTTAGTTACCACCTGGGTGAAAGAGCATGGCACTGAGTGGGTCTATCACATCCCATACCATGCAGCAGCTGCAGGGAAGGTTGAATGCTGTAATGGACTGTTGAAGACTACCCTGAAAGCATTAGGTGGAGGGACTTTCAAACAGTGGGATCAGTACCTAGCAAAGGCTACATGGTTAGTCAACACTAGAGGCTCTGTCAATCTAGCTGGCCCTGCCCAATCAGAGTCTGTTCACACTGTAGATGGAGACAAGGTCCCAGTGATTCACATGAGGGGTATGAGGTAAAAAGTTTGGGTTAACCCTGCCTTGAGCAAAGGCTAATCCATTCGTGGGATTTTTTTTGCCCAAGGACCCGGTTGCACATGGTGAGTGATGCAGGAAGATGGAGAAACCCAGTGCATACCTCAAGGGGATATTATCTTCAGGTGAACAGGCCATAACTCTGTATCTGTATTTGTACCTACATATTTGTGAATGTGTAAATCATTTAGAATAATACATGTATTTTTGGAGTTCAAAAAGTTTAATTTGATAGAGTATGGTGGCATGGGAAAGGAAAAATTAGGTGTGGATATGTCATGGTTTTGTTTGTTCTGGGAAACTAAGCTGGAATTTTTCCCTTCCCCCACCCACATTTTTCCACATTTTTTTTCAATTGGAGCCTCTTAATTCCGGATTTACAATTGCTTAGAGGGAGGAGTTTGGGTCTTCCTCATAACTCATCCTCAGCAAAACACTTGTGTCTCATTTAAACTGAGACATGCCTTCAGTGCACCATTGTGGTAGCAATCATCACCTGCTGTTCTTCAACCTTCAGCAACCCCACAACAGAAGAGAGACTGTGTAAGGTAGACAGCTACCTTATTTCCTCCATCTCCAGGTATGCTATACCAAAAGCCCACTGATACCCTTTTGTATCCTTGAAGTACCCTCTCCTGAGATAGTCTATGCCAAGGATGCAGACAGCCTCTGGGTCAGTCACAATGGGGGCTTTTGCCACTCATTCCCAGTCAAGCTGATTTCAGCCTCCAATACAGCTGTTGAGATACCCCTCTCACTCCAGAAATACAAATGGATTCTTCCCCTACATAGCTTGATGTTATTAGGGTACACTGTGCACCAGTATCTACTAGAGTTTTATGCTCTTATGGATCTGATGTACCAGGCCATTGAATCCACACAGTCCAGTGAACGCACTTGTCCCTCTCCTCCACCTGGCTGGAGGCAGGGCCCCTCTAATGCTGATCACAAGATTCCCCACTTACTTCTTTTAGAAATGGACTAGAACGTCTTTCCATAGATTCAACAGTACAATCAACCCTTCCTGAAGCAGTAGCTTTCCTGAAAATAAAACATTTGTGGTTGTTTTTCCATGCAATTCCCACATCTGTGCATCTAGGGTCGAGGTAGGTTTTCCATCCCACTTCCTCGTGTCCTCTTCATGGTCCCACAGGTAAAACCACAGGGTACATCATGGTGCGTACCTTCTATATCTTCTCTTTTCAGCAAAAGGATGCCTGCTGTCAATTGCTGAGATATGGGTCCCTACAGGTGGGGAATAGGACATATCATCTCTGAATTACTGGAACTCCTGGGGGAGGAAGAAATAGTCTTCATACTCCTGGAGTTGACAAACCACTTCATTCACTGTTGGTGGCACATCATCTTTCCAAAATTAGTGTTGCCAATGGGTTGGAATGTGCCATTGGTGCTCTCTGTACAAATTTCCTCCACATGTGCCATAGGCATAGGACTTTGTCTGGATCTGTGGGTAATTGCAAATTGTTCAGGTTATAATAAATAATTTCTTGCATGGCTAATTCCCTCAGGTATCGAATACCTTTCTCTGGGTGGTTGGGCACTGAAACAGACTCCCTAGAGAAGTGTTCACAGCACCGAGCCTGACAGAGTTCAAGAAGTGTTTGGACAATACTCTTGGTCACATGGTGTGACTCTTGGGAATGGTGCTGTGTAGGGCCAGGAGTTGGACTTGATGAACCTTGTGGGTCCCTTCCAACTCAGAATATTCTGGTGTTCTGTGATTCTGTGATACTGTGCAAGTGACTGTGTACTGGAACAGATTGCCTGGAGATGTTGTAGAGTCTCCCTCACTGGAGATATTCAAGAACCATATGGATGCAACCCTGTGCAATGTGCTCTAGGATGACCCTGCTTGAGCAGGGAGGTTGGACCAGATGACCCACTGTGGTTGCTTCCAACCTGACCCATTCTGTAATTCTGTGATTCTTTGAGAGAGGGCAGAGGAAGGACTTCTCTCAGGCAATTGTTGTTTTACAAGTACCACAGGCAATGAGACAATAGCAGAATAGGGAAAATGTGTTGTTGCAGTTTAATATTATCTTACAGTTGATGTTGTTTTGCTGATGACTTGGCAAATGGGATGTTGATGCTTTTATGACACTGTATAGAGATCCAAGTCTCCTCGGATGGTAAAATTGACAAGGAGATAGACAACAGGTTAGTAAAGGCATATAGAGCTTTCGGAAAACTCCAAAAAAGAGTTTAGTGTAATAAACACCTGAAGAAAAGTATAAAGATTAGTGTTTACAGAACCATTGTTTTGTCTACTCTTTTATATGGGTCTGAATCATGGGTCATTTACCGCCACCACTTGTGTCTCTTAGAATGCTTCCATCACCACTGCCTCCTTACAATCCTAAACATCCACTGGACTATGTGGCTAATGCATCTGTTCTTGAACAGGCAGTGGTTACGAGTATTGAGGCCATGTTGCTGAGAACACAACTGCTTTAGGCAGGGCACAGCTCCAGGGTGGAGGACTACTATCTCCCTAAGATTGTGCTCTATGGTGAACTTGCCACTAGATGCCACAGGAGAGAAGCCCTGAAGAGGAGATACAAGGACTCCCTGAAACAATCTCTCAGCCTTGGCCACAATGATCATCACCATTGGTCTACTCTGGCCTCCAGTTGGAGGTCTGGAGACACGCTATTTATAATGCTGTTGCTTCTTTTGAGAACACATGTAGAATCATTCTTGTGGAGAAAAAACACAGAAAGAACCGTGTCTTGCTGATACTGCCTAAGGAGACTGTGCCTTTTGCAACTGGACTTGTCTGTCTCACATTGGTTGTTTTAGCCATCAGCACACTTGCAGTAATGTGGGTAGAGCCCTTCTCAAATCTTCGTTCTTGAAACCTAACCATGATGATGATAGAGATCCAAGTATTCAGAAAATGTGAAAATTGGGAGAAGATATGCTGATGCCACATATTGAGGAAAAGGAGGGGAAAAAAAATGCGCAAGGGATTGTATATTGTGGAGGGGATGAGTCAGAAGATGCATGAATGTTAATTCCCACCTTTCTACCCCATATAACATTGGGATAGGAATGGATAAAGAGGATATGAATCAAAATAGAGTATATGGGATGTGAGGATTTAAGTCCTGTTGCGGACTGGACTCTGAGACATATTCAGCTAGTGACATAGGTACCTTTAAGACAAGCAATGAGTCTGCCAGTTTTTGTACATGTTCTTTTTTCTATTTCAGATTTGTTGAATTGGAAATGATCTGTTGGTTTGTACTGAGAGAATTTTGAAGGAATGTATCAGCTTTTGGAAACTATTGTGCTGACTCATAACCCTAACTGGGGAAGATATGCAGGTTACATTGAATACCTTTGTACTGTGGAAGGAAAGAGGGTGGTATTAAAGAAGGTGAAGAAGGGGAATGGTCAGGTGTTTGGGGGTCTGAACACCCGCCCCCCCTCCCCTCCATTTAGCCTGGCTCAATGTGCTGTTTGTAGGCAGGAAGGGAAATTTTGAAGATGTAAATGTTATGGTGCTGAAAGATTTTTTACAATGAGTGAAGGGAAACAGGGGAAAATATCAAGGCATCCCCAGCACATCCCCCAGTTCCAGTAAAACCAGGGAATGAAACAAAAGCTTTTTGATTGATAGCAGAGCCACACATTCAGTAATAACTAGCTGCAAGGGCTCACTAAGTAAAGTTACAATACTGATTGTTGGAGCAATGGGAAAAAGAGCTTTGCAGTCATTCTTACAACTCATGGAGTATGCAATTTGAGATATTAAACTGACTCGCAATTTTCTATATGCCAGAATGTCCCTTTCCATTTTTAGGTTGAGATTTATTATACAAGTTAAGTGCTCAAATAACTTTTTTTGGGAAACTTTGTACAGTTACACATGCACACAAGAAAGAGCATGAAAGACTCAAATCTGTTTAGTAATGAACTAGACCTCAGAGGAACTTAATATCCTGGATGCAGTATTGAATACTGCTTAGAGAGTGTCAATCTGAATTAGATACTATTAAACAAAGCCTTATTCTCAGGAGTATATGCTGGTACAGGATTTAAGAGCAATAAACCAAATATTTATTTGACTGGTTTGTATTTAAAAGCATTTTATAAAATGAGAGGTTGAAGTGAAAGGGGGCAGTGGTAAGGCAATGTGTTCTGGAGGGTGTGAATAGATTGAAAACAGCCTTTGGCAAATCTATTGGTTTTGAAAGAACTAGAAAATCCTTGATCTGGAGTGTGCTGTATAAGAAGAACAATGTTTTAGATATTGTGAGAAATGTTTCTGGCATTTTTCCCTGCTTTTTTCTCCTCTTCCCCCTTTTTTTTTTAAAGAAGAAGTTTTATTGTTCATGAATGCTGCATCAAAAGTCCATGTCCTGAGTTGCTAAATGATTCTTAACAGCTGTTTGTACCTGACTTGAGGATAAGCAGAGCCAGACTGTCTATGTTCAAATGGGAAAACGGGAAGGAAAGTGCAGTTATGCTGGATGGTACTTCCACAACAATTAAATAAAACCAGCTCTACTCTGGCAATGTATTTGCAAAGAATTGGAACAATAGAGAGGTAACAATAACAATGTAACTCCGTGGCAATATGTGGATGAAAGAAGATCGATTGGCAGAAATACTGACATGTTAAAAAAAATTTTTTCAGAAGCATGGTGGATAACTTTGTGTTGGGAGGAATGGGTTAAAAGTGGAAGACTGGTGAGGAGGATTGTAAATACCTCAAGTGACCTCGCAGCTGAGAATAATCTTTGATAACCCAGTATGAAGAGCAGCCAGTGATCCTCTAGCATAGACTGAGTATAATGGTGCCTGCGTCTCTGCTTGTGTACCTCTGCCTTGGTGTTGTTTCAGGGATCCCCAGTTAAGCAATGTAACAGAAATAAATTCACTCTGTGTTTTAAATGTGAGTTTGTGGCTGTCGTAACTGCCTGCCTGTGCCACCTTACACACTGTGAAACAACAAGTTCTCAGAACTACTAAAATGATGGAAGAAGAAACTGACATGGGAGCAGATGTTATGATAAGTAGTATCAAAAGACATGCTATAGGACCAAAGATGCAGTTCCACGTGGATATATGTAAAATAAGATACATGCAGGTACCACCAAAAATGCCAAGGCAGTGGAAAGAATCCAAGAAAAATTTATTTTGAAGGTGTGAATGCTAAAATCTTACAAAGGAAACTGCACTAGACTGCAAAAAGGCACAGCCTGGGAAAAAGAACCAAGCTACCTATTTATTCTCAGCCTTTATCATCACTTCCCCACCCTCCCACCCCAACTTCCCTTCTGGATGCGAAGGCCCTGTAGCATGTCTGTGAGCATTATCTCTCTCCTCACATATCAGAGAGAGAAAGACTGAGAACCTCTCTGGAATGTAGGGGAAGAAAGAATTGAAACTAACTTTGAGAAAAATTTTCCTTTTAGGCAGAAAAGTCTTCCTAAGCATATATCTCTACCTAAATGTGTATATTATAAATATCTACTTGTTCTAGTTGAGACTTTTTCAAAATGGTCAGAGGCTTTCCCTTGCCACACCAGTCGAGTCAGGGAGGTTGGTAAAAATTGTGCTAGAAACAGAGCTGGTTCAGGGAGTATCTAAACTCTTTCAGTTTAAATGGTATTTCCACACCCCTTAGAGACCACAATCTAGTGGAAGAGTAGAAAGAATGAATCAGACTATCACAAGGACAAATTGTGTCAAGAGATCCATATGAAATGGTAGATGTAAGCCCCTTTGAAATTCTGAATGGTAGATCATATCCAATTAACACTGTGGTGATGAAAGGTGACCAAACACATGTGAAAGGTAGTGATCTGTTGAAAAATTATGTTATCTCTCTCGTGGGTTTTGTCCTTGCTGTATAGGTATCTTAACCAGTGGACACCGGCCCCCTCCCTTCCTTTGGATGCATGTATTCACAACTTCACCCAAGAGACGCTGTTTAGGTCTGGATGAGCCACTAGAGGATAAGTGGAAAGGACCATATACATTTATGTTGACTACATATACAACTTTAAAAGTAGAAGACACAGATTCTTGGATTCACTACACCATGAACAGTGGACGTGTCAAAAAAGAGGACACCTTAAGATAAGAATTTCTTAGAATCAGGCAATTGCATATGGGGCACTTGAATGTCCCTTGAAAATTTTTAGTATTAATATCAGAGATTATCCATCTGAGGATAATTTTGTTCTTTTACTGTATAGAAGTGCTGGTTTTTTTCAGGAATAACAAAATAGGTTGAAAGGATTGTGAGAGTATAGCTCCAGGTTGCATACAATTTTGTAACTATCTTGATATTGGGAAATGGTTGTATATGATAATCTGGGAATTCAATTTCAAAATGACAAACTAGAAGTTTAGATTTATGTTGTCACTCTTACCCTTAATGATGCTATTTCTCTTAGCTTACAGCCCAAAAAAATTCAGAACGGCCATGTTCTCAAGCCCTTGTTAAATATACTGGAAGTATGGGGATACATTCCAGTAAAAGAGATTTAAACCTAGTCACTGGTTATACATGGAGCTGAAGTATATTGGGAAAAGTAATGGAGCTGGGGTCAGGATGATACTGGAGGATTAATAGTTCTACCTATAAGGAGACATCCCATATTCAACTTGCCATCAACCAAGACCCCCAGGTCCTTTTCCACAGTACTGCTCTCCAGCCTCTGGTTCCCTAGTCTATACACACAACCAGGGTTGCCCTGTCCCAGAAGCTTACCCTTGTTAAGCTTCATACAATTGGTGCTTGCCCATCTGTCTAATTTGTCAAGGTCTCTCTGCAGGGCCTCTCTGCCTTTGAGGGAGTCGACAGCTCCTCCCAATTTAGTGTTGTCGGCAAATTTACTTAGTATTCCTTTGAGTCCTGTGTCCAAGTCATTTATGAAGATGTTGAAGAGCACTGGACCTAAGATGAAGCCCTGTGGAACCCAACTAGTTACCAGACACCAGTCTGATATTACCCCATTCACTATTACCCTTTGTGCCCTACCCATGAACCAGTTGCTCAGCCATTGCATAACAAGGTTATTCAGCTATATGCTAGACATTTTGTCCAGAAGGATACTGTGAGAGACAGTATGGAAAGCTTTACTGAAATCCAAAAAGATTACATCAACTGTCTTTCCTTGATCAACTAGGTGGGTTACCTTGTCATAAAAGGAAATCAGGTTTGATAAGCAGAACTTTCCTCTGTTCTGGCAGTCTCTCTCTCTCCCTGCTGCAGAAACTAGTGGCAGTAGCAGTAACAGCAGAAGTGGTGGTGTTGCCAGCAGAGGGTCTCTCCTGGCAGTGGTAGGCAGGTTCCCACTTCACTCTTTTTTTTTTCCTTTGCTAGGTTCAGTTGGCCTGGGCTGAGAGTTATCCCCACTTCTCTGTTCCCGCACAGCAACCTCCTGCACTGGAGCTATCTCTTCTGCTGTGACTCAAAAAGTAATGGGTAAAGGGACTGGCGGTGGCAGCACTGCAGTTCAAGGTGGTGGTTACCTCTTTCCAGAGCCAAGGAAGAGAATGGCTACCCTTCTGCTTCCACTCATGGCTTTTAAAGGGGTCAGTCCACTCCCTTCCACAACCCAGGCAAGAAGAAAAAGATTCCATTTCTGGCAACTCTGAGTTCCTTGCAGAACAAAACCTCCCCTCCCACAGTGACATGGGTGGTGTGGAATAAACAGTGCTAAAAAACTTCACCCCTTTTTCTCTATAACCATTACATTATTCACCTCTTATTCTATACCATCTATGTCATGCTCAGATTAATATTTTTGTAACTATATACATATATACATATATACATATATACATATATACATATATACATATAACTATACACAAGCACAGATATTATTTCAGTAGTCACTGACCTTGCCCAAGATGTTTGTTGAGTTCATTTAGTCCATGACTGGTGTAACTGGAGCAGTCCATACTCATTGTCAGTGGTATTATCGGTATACAGTGGCAGTGTCATTCAATAACCAGTATTATATATGCAATAAAACATTACACACAGTTCTCACCCAAAATCAAATGCCCTTGAGGTACATATTTTTTCCCTCTGCATTTCCCAGCAAGTGCACCCAGGTCCTTGAGCAAAAACAATCCCTTGTATGTGTTTGCCTTTGCTTGAGGCAGGACTAATCCAAACTGTCTTTCCTAAGATTTTGGCGGAGAGGCACCGGAACATACACACACGATCTATAAGATCACAAATATGTCCGCTTTATTGCGATGGTCCAGGGTTTTTATAACATCTCTACTCAAGGTCCCGTGACAAGAAGCATACAATTGGACACCGGCTACCATCCAGCTGAAAACATCCATTACAAATTCCTTTATAATTGGACATTA